CTCCAGCTCTTGGGCTTAAGTGATTCTCTTCCCTCAGCCTCCCAAGTAGGTGGGATTACAGGCGCCCACCACAATGCCCAGCTATTTTTTTAGTTGTAGTTATCATTGATGTTTGGTGGGCCAGGGCTGGATTCAAACCCACCAGCTCTGGTGTATGTTGCTGGCGCCTTAGCCGCTTGAGGTATAGGCACTGAGCCCATTTTTTGGAAAAATATATTATGAAAGAAAGTTGTATTAGTCTGCTTGGCTGATATAATAGACTATTACAGAATGGGTGGCTTAAGTAATAGACGTTTATTGCTCACAATTTTGAAGGCTGGAAAATCCAAGGTCAAAGCTCCAGCTAATTTGGTTCTTGGCAAGTGTCCTCATTCTAGCTTTTTGATAGCTGCCTTCTCACTGTGTCTTCATATGGCAGAGAAAGAACAACCTTTCTCTTCTTATAAAGCCACTAATCCCATTAAGAGGGACCCACCCTCATGACCTCATCTAACCCTAATTACCTCCCAACGGCTCTATGTCCTTATGCAGTAACTGTCTCTTTTGTACAAATGAATGTAAAACAGTTTAGATTGCTGTGGAATAAAATACAGACTTCATGGGAACTTTATTATATTAAATATCACATTTTTAGTATAAACTCCAGTTGTCTGTTCCTATGTTAATGTAATGTTAAACATCTAAACAGTTGCTCACATTTAACAAGTGACTGTTTCAAGGTATCAGGGATGTTCCTAGATTAAATATATGTAGTATTACTGATTTTTCTTTAAATATTAATTTTCTTTATGATAGTAGGTAGCAACTACCAAATTATCTGTGCCTTTTACTGTGTGTTTTTTTAATTCTTTAAGATCAAATTTAATTAACCATAGCTATATCCATTTAAAGTATATAATTTGATGAGCTGTGACAAAATGTATATAATAGTGAAAACACCGATATAAAATAAGATTTTTGTCACTGCCAAAGCTTAAGTTTTTATATTTGCTCTGTATTTCTTGAAAAAGCCATAATACATTTGGGGGTGAAGAGGGGGTTGTTGGGATAGTAGATCCTTGGTCCTTGGGCTTTTCTTGCTTTGTGTTGAGCAAAGCAGAAGCCGAGAGAGCTTGCTGGCAGCACTAGCCTCAGCAGTGAGTCTGTTTCTCACATAACCACTGCTTCTTTCTCCATCCTTAGGAAGAGATACAGCTAATTTGTTACTAATTTTAAAAAATATGTTAATAATATTAAAGTAATAATGAAAATGTCAAAGGTTTAGAAATTAATGAACATTTTCCTTTTATTTAAAAAGTGAAAATAGGCCGGGTGCATTGGCTCATGCCTATAGTTCTAGTACTCTGGGATGCTGAGGTAGGTGGTTGCCTAAGCTCATGGTTTGATACCAGCCTAAGCCAGAGCATCTCTTAAAAAAAAAAAAAAAGTGTTGTGCTAGGGGTACCTGTATTCCCAGCTACTTGGGAGGCTGAGGCAAAAGACTTGTTTAAGCCCAAGAGTTTGAGGTTGCTGTGAGCTGTCATGTCATAGCACTCTACTGAGGGCAAGAAAATGAAACTGTCTCCAAAAAAAAAAAAGTGAAAATATTGGTTCTTTAACATGGTACTGTGTATATCTAAAGTAGCAAGTTGCTCATACTCCAAGGCTGCCAACATTGTGTAGCCATTGGGTAATACCATAAACGTGTTTTATAAATCTATAACTATATGAAAGAAGAAGTACAGATGAATTATGCCCAAAGATAAAAGTATATAAAAGTTTAAAGCTTCAGAGGTACTGTAGACAATCATTTAGGACTGCTTGATGAATATACCTTATTGTAATTATAAATGACATGGATTTGACTACAAAAAAAAATAATCCATGCTACTGCTTATTTTGGTTTCTTTTTTTTTTAATTTTTGGTTTTTTTATTTTATTTTATTTTATTTTGGTTTTTATTTGTTTTATTTGGTTGCTTATTTTTTCTTTTCTTTCTTTTTTTTTTTTTTTTGTCGAGACAGAGTCCCACCCTGTGCCCCTGAGCAGAGTGCAGCGGCTTGGTAGTTCACTGCAACCTCCGACTCCTGGCTTGTGGGCATCCCGCTGCCTCAGCCTCTGGAAGCCGCTGGGATTACAGGTGCTTGCCGCGGCACTGGCTGGGTTTTTCCATTTTTTTCATGAGTCAGGGTCTCACTCTCACTCAGGCGAGTCTCGAACTCCTGAGCTCCAGCGATTCTCCCTCCTCAGCCTCCCACAGTGCTGGGATTACAGGTGTGAGCCACCACACCCGGCTATGTTTGTTTCTTAACTGTATTCTTTTTATTCTAATAGAATATGGAAGGCTCCATGTTGACAATCAGCTTTGGAAATTGGATGGAGTTACCTGGTCTTAAATTTAAAGATTGGATGTCAAGCAAACGAAGGTAAAGGTCAATTCTGTTAAAATCCTTTACTATACATTGAAAAAGAGACTGTCAGAAAATTCAAAATATTTGTTATTTTCTCATCGATGAAGAATAGAAATGTACATATATTTCAGATAAAAATGCCTCACTGAAGCAGTGAGTATAATAAGAGAGGTTCCATTTAGAGATATTGTAAAGCTAAGAACAGAGGTATAAGGATTATCTGCAGATTGGTTTCCTGTGACTTCTTTTTAGTCATGAATTTCTCCCACTCTCCTGTTAAGTCATTCTCTCTGTTTACTTTCTCATCCACCCACCTACCGTTTTTTACAGTTGTATCTACTTATTTTGTGAATTGATATATAACTTTAGATATGCATAGCTTGTGTATACAAACCTAAAGTGTTTAACTTTAATGATAAAGAATGTATATTATGTGATTGGTAATTTAGAATGGTGGAATAAATAAGAATCTAGAATATGGTTAGCTACTTGGGTATGAAGGTGAATATTTAACAAAATGTAAAAGTTAGAGTAACAGGAAATCTCATCCTGGAAAAATGCTAAGTTTATTTTTTTTATTTTGGAGGAAAGAACTCCAAATTTAAAAAGAGAAATATGAAAAACCCTATTATTTTCAAGCATAATATAGTTTAGGAATTGCTAATAAAGAGAACTATTCTAATTTGACTACTCATACAAATAATAAGTTAAAGCAGGAAGTTCTTTAAACTTCATTAGAACAAGGATGTAATATTTGAGTACTTGACTTCTGGCTAGATAGAAACCATGCTAATCCATAGAACTTTTCCTTAATTTGAGGAGCTTTTTTGTAGAGACGGAGTCTCATTCTATCGCCCTCAGTAGAGTGCTGTGATGTCACAGCTCACGGCAACCTACAACTCCTGGGCTTAGGTGATTCTCTTGCCTCAGTCTCACCAGTAGCTGGGACTACAGGCGCCTGACACAACACCCAGCTATTTTTTTTGTTGCAGTTTGGCTGGGGCCAGGTTTGAGCCTACCACCCTCCGTATATGGGGCCGATACCCTATCCACTGAGCCACAGGCACTGCTCAATTTGAGGAGATTTGAGAGAGCAAATTAGATCATCACATGTGTTTTGAAAACTTTAATTATGAAAACTTTAAAGCTTTCAAAATATTAATTTTAAATTTTCAAAGAAGTATATGTGGTTTTGAAACTTAAAGTTGTAAAATCATTAATTTATACAAGTTCTTGATTTTCTTATGTAAGCAAGAAAAATTGCTCAACACATTCTTCTCTTTGTAAAATTGGTAAGAAAGGAAATGCTTTATGGTTTATGTTCCAGCAGTATTTAATTTTTAAATTGTGCATAATTGCATCTTGAGGTAGTTTGTGGATAGGTGAAAATTAATTTTGTGGTAAATATTGTCTTTGGTTGTTGCCTTTGCATAGCTTTGAGAGCAGACCCGTAGGTCTCTAGAGATTGGCAGGTTTGAGTCCTGACTCTGTAACTTCTAATGTTGTGACCCTAAGTCAAGTCATTTAACTTAAATTAGTTACCAGCATTACTAGTCTATAAAATGGAGACAGGTACAGTCATCTGTTGGTTAATGATTGGGATACATCCTGAAAATTGTGTCATCAGGCGGTTTCGTCCTTGGGTGACAACAATAGGATATACTTTGACAAGCCTCTGTGATATTGTGTATAGTCTACTGCATACCTTGTGTACATGCTATAGCCTATTGCTTCTAGGTTACAGACTTGTACAGCATGTTACTGTAGTTAACACTAAAGGCAGTTATAACACAGTGGTAATTACTTGCGTAACTGTGGCACAGTGGTTATGGTGCCAGCCACATGCACCGAGGCTGATGGGTTCAAGTCCAACCTGGGCCAGCTGAACAACAATAACAACTACAACAACAAAAACAAAACAAAAGTAAAATTCCACTAAAATATCTAAATGTAGAAAAAGTACAGTAAAAATACAGTAGAAGAGATTTAAAGTCGTAAGTTTGTGTAGGGCACTTACAGGGAATGGAGCTTGCAAGACTGGAAGTTGCCCTGGTTAAGTCAATGAGTGACTAGTGAATGAATGGGAAGGCTTAGGACAGTACTGTACATTACTGTAGGCTTTATCAATAATGTACACATAGGCCACAATAAATTTATAAAAATAATAAAGTAATTGTGCCATGACTTTAAGATGGCTATAGTGTCAATAGGCAGTAGAAATTTTCAGTCCATTATAATCTAATGAACTATCATCATACAGATGGTCCTTGGTAGACTAAAGTGTCATTATGTAGCACATGATTGAAGTGGTAACTGTGAAAGTTTTCGTAAAAAGTGAGAGTTTATACATTCTAAATCTTAGTAAACTTTAAAAGAAATATTTTTACAAACTTAAAATTACAGACCATCCCCAACTAATGGTAACTTAACTTAATTTTTCAACTTTATAATGTTGCAAAATGATACGCATTCAGTAGAAACTATACTCTTGAGTACTATGTAATCATTCTATATTTCACTTTCAATATAATATTCAATAAATCACATGAGATATTGAATGCTTTATTATAAAATAGCCTTTTTGATGATTTTGCCCAACTGTAGGCTAATACAGGTGTTTTGAGCATATTTAAGGTAGGCAATTTTAGGTGTATTAAGTTCATTTTCAGTTTATATTTTCAGTTTATGGTAGTTTATCAGGATTAACTCCATTATAGTTTGAGGAGCATCTTGTAATGAATAATGTATAGTGACTTGTTTTTACTGCAGCTTACCTCTGATTAGGGCGGGGGATTTAGAAATGTTACTGCTCATCACTTTATATTAGAAAGTGACAGCTATACTAATGTACTTTTTTCATGAAGAATAGATCGTTTTTAGATTTCTTTATGTGTTGGAAAACGTAGAATGAAATGTTATCTCTTAGGTGTAAGAAGACTGATCAGCAGAAGACAGATCTGAATTGTTATTAGGAAAATAGAAAAAACCTATTAAAAATGTCAAGATGGTATATATAATGTTTAAGAAGCATAGAACCTATACCATGTCAAGATGGTATATATAATGTTTAAGAAGCATAGATACTAATAGAATTGTAGTATTTCAGTGGTTAAAACCTAAATCATTCAGTTGATAGTCATAGATTATAATGTGAGATATAAAACAGTCCAATTTTCAGATGTCCACATTTTAATCCCTAATTTTTTTTTTCTTTTTTTTCTTTTTTTTTTTTATTGAACGGTAACTATGTACATTAATGCACTTCTAGGGTACAGTGTGGGGTTTTCA